GTTAGCGTTCTCTTTCTAAACGCTTAAGAGATAGAACTATTCAAGATGCCCCTTTCAAAACCTTTCTATCACCTCCATGGAGTGCTTGTTTAATATCCTCCAAAGTGAAAGACGTTACTAAAACGTCCTTTTCCCTCTTAGAGATACGACTCCCATCAATGCCTGTATCAAAAGGTTTAGGATGCACTTTTGGACCATAGAGATTGGAGAAAAAAGAGAGGGTTCCTCGAACCCTCTTCCACGCTTGAAAAAAAACAACTTGCATAGTCCAATCATTGAGCCTAAAAATTTCTACACCCTAGTTTAGTTCCCTATCCTTCGCGGAGTTTGTGAAAAGTCTTCCGCAAGCTTCACGAAATTCCAGCCAGTGGTGATCTTTCTTTTATCACTTAGCTTAGGAGCCGTGCGAGATGAAAGTCTCATGCACGGTTTTGAATGAGAAAAAGAAGTGAGAAATCCTCTTTTCAACTCTGACTCTCCTACTCCAGTCGTTGCTTTTCTTTCTGTTACTTCGAAAGTAGCTGCTTCAGCTTCAGCCACTCGAATTTTCGAAGTCTATGGGCCCAATAATGTTCCTACTTCTGCTGCCACTAGCCACCTTGTGGAAGAAGGAAGTGTTGCAATCCCCATAGCCCATTTAACCTTGGCTTTTTGCTTCAGCTTTAGCAAATTTCAATTCAAGAAAATGTTGCTCGACCTTTAGAGTATTAACCAAGTGGCCCTTGCCCATTATTTCTTGTTTCTTAATTTTAATATATCCAAAAACCTTTCTATTTCAAAGTTTAAGGAACTCTTTTAAAGACCTCAACTTCCCTATAAAATCATACCCTTCCCATGTACCTAGGATCGTAGCATTTCACCACATTGGCATGGGGGATTTAAAGGAAAGATGTAACAACTCAAGCCCACTGCTAGCAAATATTGTCCGTTTTGGCTCGTTACACATCTCCGTCAACCTCATGGTTTTAAAATGTGTTTACTATGGAGAGAGTCTAGCCCTACTCCAACCAATGCCTCGCACTGTCCGGTGACTGGCTCTGATACTATATTTAGGAATCACGGACCTCCACAATGGTATGATATTGTCCACTTGGAGCATAAGCTCTCATAACTTTGCTTTTGTTTTTCCAAAAATGCCTCGTACCAATGCAGATGTATTCCTTACTTATAAATCAATGATCAACCGCTTAATTAGCCGATGTGGGATTCTTCTCCCAACAATCCTCAACAATCATCCCCTTGAACAAAGTGCACTTTAGAGCCTCTCCTTAGGCATATGGAGCCATTGAATAGTCTCTCTTTAATTGAGGCTCAACTCCTTCTTTTGAGCCTTGAACAAAGTACACCCTTCGGTTGACACTTATAAGTCACTTTTGACTACGCCTTCGAGACTCACAACTTCTTTGTTCGATATTTGAGGATTCTATTGACATGACTAAGTTATTGGTTTGTTACGTATCGTCGTCAGCCTTACAGTTTTAAAACACGTCTGTAGTGAGAGGTTTTCACACCCTTATAAGGAATGCTCGTTCCCCTCTCCAACTGATGTGGAGCCAAACAATCCATCCCCCTAGGAGTCCAACGTTCTCGTTGGCACACCGCCTGGTGTCTAGCTCTAATACCATTTGTAACACAGCCGAAGCTCACCACTAGCAAATATTGTCGTTGTGCGTCATCAACTCACAGTTTTAAAACACTTCTACTAGGGAGAGGTTTCCACACCCTTATAAGGAACGTTTCGTTCCCTTCTCCAACCAATGTGGGATCTCACAAGGAAGATCATAAAATAGGGAAGATCATAAAATAGGGTAGAAGTGAGATCCCCACTAATCCAAATGGTTAGGAAAAGGGCCATAGTTGCCATAGGGTACCAAGTAGAGGAGAAGAATCTGGCGATCTCCTAGAAATCCTCAGCACTTGACTCAGCTCATTTGAAGATTCCCTAGTTTCTTTCGTTGCAAAATTTCCACAGAACAGTAGTCATCGAACAAATTGGATGATGGGTTCATGAGAGCTTCGCTTCAATAGATTGAGAGGTAAGTATTTTGAAGTCCTTCACCGTTTTGTAAGTTGTAGACTCATCACTTCTATTGTTCTGTAGAAGGATTGCGCTGACATCCCATTAATAACCAAGAGTAGGACTTGCTTGGACTAATGCTTTCTATGCTATAGTCCTCAAACATCACGTTTGCGGTACGACCGCACCGACATCATTACTGCAGTGTTTACTTGCGATGGGGCAAGACTTTAAGAGTGAGGGTTACTTGGAGAGCCCTTTATGTTTGAGGAAACCAAAACCTTGGTGTTTAATCGGGATGGGGCAAGACTCTTGATGGTTTTTGGCTCTCTTTCAAGGTCGTTGGGATTCGTCAAAAGATGATCTGGCCTATGTTTTCATTGAGTTCTTTAAGAGAGACATGGATGTCATATTACTATGAATAAATTCCTTCCAAAAAAAGATGAACATGTAAAATTAGGGGTTTTAGGTAATTACTTCTGATACTAGCTTTTGTGAAGCTATCTCTAAGATGTTTACCGAAAGGACGAAAAAGATGTTTCCGAGTAACATATCTTCAGTGCAGGCGATTTTGTGGGTGCAAGTTAAGGCACGTTATGAAGAAAGACAGCATGTCTATGTGAATATCTAGAATTTCTTATTATAAAGCCTAAGTCCACCGCTAGCAGATATTGTCCTCTTTGGGCTTTCCCTTTCGGGCTTCCCTCCAAGATTTTTAAAGCGTGTCGGCTAGAGAGAGGTTTTCACACCCTTATAAGAATGTTTCATTCTTCTCCCCAACTAATGTGGAATCTTACGCTTACAATCTCTTATACATAAGAAATAAGGTCTAACAAGGTAGGCTAATCTTGTCTAACTTTCCTAATTTGCTTTCTTACCGACGTACCCTAACTTCGACACTTATTTTCGACTCTCTCCTTTAAAGTTGGGTGAGATGGGTTGTATATTTGCAGCAATCTGATACCGATCATTTTCTCCCCATTTTTTTCTAATGCAGTTATAGCAATTTCAGATGTTCTAAAGCCCTTGTTTATTAAAGATAAGCAGTGTAGCAAGCAAAGCGAGCGATTTTGTGTTTATCCAACTTGATCACCAAAGCTTGGTTCACGCCAACGTTCGAGTCTCGTAATCACTTCTCCTTTTCCGGGCAATTCTTTCCATGCTTGTACATATTATTAATCTGTTCTGTTGCTTAATCAATTCTTAACCATCAAGTTTTGTGGTGATATATAAAAACAATGCTTGTGATATCATTTGCTTTAGCTGTACTTATTTGCAGTTGTAGATATAGATAATCATTTTTAAGACAGGATATCCAGTTTGGAGTCTGGAACAAGAACACCGCTAGATTCATCTGTTCATACCATGACAACTGTTGTATTAGTATGAACAATGTTTACCCCATTTGTAATCTTCTCTCCTTGTTTATATTCATCTTTGGTTTCTGCAGAGATATATATCATGTTCTTGATGGTTCTTGTTATAAAATAAACAGGTTTAAGTTCATTTCTTGTTGAACATTTCAGAATTTGATTCATTTTAGTTTGTGTTAATTATGGAACAAATTGATATCAGGGCTTCAAATGTGTATTAATTAACATGTTTTTTTTTTAAATTTTGAAAATTATTCGCATTGATCTCGAGTCTGTATATTGTGGCAAAGTACTATTTTTGTTCCAAATACCGTTGCTTGCAGCCATGCGTCGGATATCCCGGGTTTTGCTTGCTTGTCCGTGCTTCCCATGGCCACCCGTTCCAAACTTGTTTTTCGATGCACCTGATTTTATCATAGGGCATCAAATAATATGTTGATGACCCATGTGATCAACTTTCTAGGCACTAGTAGTTTAGAGGTAGAATAGTACCCGGCCACGGTACTATTCTACCTCTAAACTACTAGTGCTTTTTGTTTCAAATAGCATTGCCTGTGGTTGTGTGTCGGATGTTCTTGTCATACTTGTCTGGTGCTCATGGCCAATTGTCCTTTTTAAACCCTTTTTACTTACAATTTTTGTTATGCATACAATGTATGACTATTCACCAAAATCATGTATACACCAGATAGAGCTAGGAGTCTGAGACATACTAAACGCGACTCAAGAATCCATCCTACATTAACATTCTCCGCAAAGTTCGATTTTTACACAATTAACTTATCGCACTGCCTTAAGAATACAGTTGTTACATTTATCTCCTAACACGGGTGTTTTCAATTTAATCTTTAAATCTTTTTAAATTCCATTTTGTCTCTCTATAAATTTTAGCATAAAAAAACTATTGTATTCATCCTAATTCTTCTACTAGACCACTGGTACTCCTTTTTTTCAAAAAGTATTGCTTGTGCTCGAGTGGTTGGAGTCCTGGTCATGCTTGTCTAGAGCACGTTGACCATGATCACATGTTCGTTCCCAACCCCTTTTACTACAAAAAGTCCAGATAACTCTGTTTTACTCTCTAAGACAGGAGAGATAGATGTAGATATAGTTGAACTGTACATTTTGTTTATTAAAGAGTTGTTATTAATAAAATTTTAGTTGGTCATTATACACTCATAGTTACTTCTCGAGAAAGATAGAGAACAAGTGAATTCCTCTATAATACTCTAGTTCAATTGCAAGGATTCTTAAAGGTAATTGAACGATTAGGAATAATTCTTTTTTTAGAACTCATTAATCAACCTCCTGAAACAGAGCTTGAAAATGTGTGAAGAAAAACAAAATTTCACCAAAATTTTACCATAAAATTCAACGTTCTATGTTCAACTCTTCAGTCTGACCTCACTATTGTTAAAAAAAATGGTTCACCTACTCTTTGTTATAGCATACTTTAATTTTTTTTATTTTTTTATTTTTTATTTATTATTATTTTTTTCTATACATACATCATATATATATATATACATATATAATCCCATTGCCACCATGTTCATCTTACCCAACCTATATCATATATATATATATATATTATAATCCCATTACCACCATGTTCATCTTACCCAACCATGAAATTCCCAATCCTCCGCCCATTATGATCCCATCGACTTCCGTCAAATCCAAAACCAATCCAAGTCTATACTATGCAATCCACAAGTATTCTCCCTTTCAATCCCCCCCTTTCTTTTCCCCCAAATCTTCCTCGTTTCGCCCCAATAATCCGCCATTTCCCCTCTCCTTCCAAGCTTCGCGTGCCCATATCTATGGCTTCTTCGCCTTCTGGGCTCGCCGTCGGGTCGCGAACAGAGACTATTTCGAGCAGGACCGCCATTGATGGCCTCTATACTTTGACCGACTATGTGGGAAAGGACGGGATTGGTTTGGGAGATGATTTGGTGCTGCTGTTGACTCATATTCAGTATGCTTGCAAGAGAATTGCAGCTCTCGTCGCTTCTCCCTTCAGTTTCGATCTTCCAAATCCGGCGGGTTTGGCTGTCGGCGGTGGAGTGGTTGTTGGAGCGGAGAGGGATGCACCCAAGCCGCTCGACATTGTGTCTGTAAGCAAATTTCCATCGATTGTGGATATTGATTGAAGTATGAATGTTTATTACTCTGTTTTTAGTGGTTGAATTTAGAATGCATTATTTTCTGAATCTTATAGTCCTCGAGGTTGAGTTTCTTCGATTGTTCTGGTTAAGGTCAAGATTAGTTCTATCAACTGAAGAACAATGGATCTTTCAGTTTCCATTATATGAGCTCAAGTTCAGCTTTAGCAGTCTCGTTGCCTCTGTCTAGTCGTTGAATTTTGAATGCACTGTTTACTAAAGCTAATAAACATTAGGCTTGATTCTGTTTCAGTGTCCAAATTGCTCTGGTTAATGCCATTTACTCAGGAATTCATAACCAGGATTTTAACAGGAAAGATAAATTTGGGGACTTCTTAAAGACTTGATTGTCCTCTTCAAAATGAAATTTTAGGGACGAAAACTATATTTTAACCCCATTCTAGTAATGCACCACAAGTAGATATTGTCCTCTTTGAGTTTTTCCTTTCGGGCTTTCCTTCAAGGTTTTTAAAACGCGTCTGCTACAGAGAAGTTTCCACACCCTATAAAGAATGTGGGATCTTGCAATCCACCTCCTTCGGCGCTGAGTGTCCTCACTGACACTCGTTCCCTTATCCAATCGACGTGGGACCCCCAATCCACCCCCGAGTCTGTTAGGGAGAGGTTTCTACACCCTTATAAAAAATGTTTCATTCTCACAATCCACTCCCCTTTGGGGCCCAGTATCCTCGTTAGCACTCGTTCTCTTCTCCAATCAATGTGGGACCCCCAATCCACCCCCTTCGAGGCCTAGCATTCTTGTTGGCACACCGCCTCATGTCCACCCCCCTTCGGGGCTCAGCCTCCTTGCTAACACATCGTCCGATGTCTAACTCTGATACCATTTGTAGTAGTCTAAACCTACCGTTAATAGATATTGTCTTCTTTGGGCTTTCTCTCAAGGTTTTTAAAACACGTTTGATAGGGAGAGATTTTCACACCCTTATAAAGAATGTTTCATTCTCCTCTCCAACCGACGTGGGATCTCACCGCTTTCAAACTCTAATTGTTCTTAAACTGTCCTTAATCCTAAAATTGTTTAGAGAAGTGATTGTTTGATTTGTACTCAGAAAGACCATCCTAGTTATATTATAACATGAAGATGCAATAAATAAAAGTTACATGATCTTGTATGATATTTTGAGGAATTCTGAGACATAGAGGCCTAAATTCCAAACTTATAACTTGCCAAAATATTCAAGATATTATTGCTTGAGCTTTCTAGTTTAGCAACTCAGGTGTTCGGCTATCTTTGCAAATACATCCTGGAGAAAGAAAAACTAAATTCTGGGAAACATTCTCTCTTTTTTTATAGAATGAAATCATCTTATCATCCCTTAAAAAGTCTGGAAAAGTTGCTGTGATGGCTTCAGAAGAAGATGATGAGCCAGTTTGGATTAGAGATGATGGTCCATTTGTGGTGGTAACAGACCCGCTCGACGGTTCTCGAAACATCGATGCATCGATACCTACTGGCACAATTTTTGGGGTTTATAAACGTCTTGTTGAACTTGATAACTTACCAAGAGAAGAGAAGGCCGTGCTTAATTCTCTACAGAGTGGAACTAAACTTTTGGCAGCTGGATATGTTCTCTACTCATCAGCTACAATACTCTGTGCCAGCTTTGGTTCTGGGACACATGCATTTACACTGGACCATTCAACTGGAGACTTCATTCTTACTCATCCTCATATCAAAATCCCTCCTCGAGGTAACATGTCAGGTTCCATGGCTCCAAATATAACACAATATTGATATTGTTGGATGAAAGTCCCATATCGGCTAATATAGGGAGGAATAATCATGGGTTTATAATCAAGGAATACTATTTCCATTGGTATGAAGCCTTTTGAGGAATTCCAAAGCAAAGCCATGAGAGCTTATGCTAAAAGTATCATGGGTTTATAATCAAGGAATACTATTTCCATTGGTATGAAGCCTTTTGAGGAATTCCAAAGCAAAGCCATGAGAGCTTATGCTAAAAGTGGACAATATCATACCACTGTGGAGAGTCGTGTTCATCTAACAAACACATTAGCCAAGGAGTTTGTTAATGTTAATAAAATGATTATACTTAAAGTAGATTGGAGCACTTTTAGACTAGCAGATTTTTGGAGTATTAGAATGTAACGGTCCGAGTCCATCGCCCAAAGTGTTAGTGGGGTGATATCGAGGCAGGTCTAACAACCTTCCAATTAAGGAGTTTGTTAATATTAATAGAATGATTATACTTAAAGTAGATTGGAGCACTTTTAGACTAGAAGATTTTTGGAGTACTAGAATGTAACGGTTCAAGTCCACCGCTAGCCGATATTGTCCTATTTAGGCTTTTCCGTTTGGGCTTCCCTTCAAGATTGGAAGAGGTTTCCACACCCTTATAAAGAATGTTTGTTCTCCTCCCCAATCGACATGGGATTTCACATATATTTCTTTCATATCCTATTATTGAATTATGAACATCTCATGAGACAACGTGGGGATCTTTGGACCTTGTTTCAACTGCTTTCTTTTTTTTTTTTTCTTTTTTCTTCAGGGCAAATATATTCCGTAAACGATGCGAGATATTTTGATTGGCCAGAAGGATTGCGGCGATATATCGACACAATCAGACAGGGAAAAGGCAAAAATCCAAAGAAGTACTCTGCCCGTTACATATGTTCTCTGGTTGCCGATCTCCATCGAACTTTATTGTACGGCGGAGTGGCAATGAATCCAAGAGACCATCTTCGTCTAGTATATGAGGCGAACCCTCTTAGCCTCCTTGTCGAGCAAGCCGGAGGCCGAGGCTCAGATGGTAAAAACCGAATCCTTTCAATGCAGCCAGGTAAGCTGCATCAAAGGCTGCCTTTGTTCATGGGGAGTTTGGAGGACATGGAGGAGCTTGAAAGCTATGGAGATGTACAGCAGAAAGTGAATCCTGGTTATGAAGTTTGAATGAAGCTTCAAACGTAAGAATCAAGCTTCAAAAAGGTCAGTCAGTCTCTAGATTTTGTGTTCTTCATCACTTATATTCCAGTGGCTTTGCATATGCTTTACTGGAAAGTGTTTATATATATATATATATATAAACTGTAGAATATTAACAGTAACTTCTGAGAGCATGTGAATTATAGTTAATTGCAATCTGAATATGATGTTCTTTTACTGGTAGAACAACATTTAGAGCTTCTATTGAAGATCCAAACAATCCATATTTGGAACTCATTCACAGACTTTGTGTATATTTTCTTGTATATAAATGTGTTGTAAGCAATATATATATCATTAGTGCTTCATTAATATATCAACCCTCATTTATATCATTAGTATATTAGTAGGACATTTGTATTCATTAAAAGATGTAATTTTAAGAGTAATCTACTATCAGTAGTACGTCAATATTGACTTCAATTCAATATTGATATACATGTGATATACAAATATTATCTTCATATATATTAATTGATATACTGCTGAGATACGCGTACAATATATACAATATTTCGTACATATATAATTAATAATATAAAATATATTTGATATATTATTGATGCTGATACACGTAAAATATATACAATATTTCGTACTTATACAATTTATAATATAAAATATATTTGATATATTATTGATGCATTCGATAAACGAAATATACAGTATATCAGAAATACGAAACATGAAAATAGTATAATTAAAAAACACAAATATAATAGTATATATTCATCACAATTTTACTTATAATTATACCTTCCAATATTTTAATTACAATAGCAAAATAAATAACTTTTTGTTACATTTATGTTTTTCCTCACATTCGGATGCTAGATTTTTAGACCGCTCCTACTTTTTGTCATCACATAAATCGATTGATCCGAAATTGTGTACACGAGAATTTTGTAGCATCATGACAAATGTGTATTTATGACAATTATGCAGCTGAATAGAATGGTAATCGGATGTATGTAATTTGGCTGAAACAATTGTGTAAACTGAACTGAAATTGTACAAAAAGTCATTGCAAAGATATTGTTGCAAGTTTTACAGAGGATAAGGGTAGAATTTACCAAAGATGTTAGTCTGAAGGTGTCATCCTACCGTTCGTGAGGTCGGGCCAAGGAACCTGTTGTCGTAAATGTATTACGACACTGGAGTTGATGGTTAGCTCTTAACTGACATCGTAGCTAAAATTCAATCGTTCAAAAATATCTCAAAGATTTTGGAAGATTTCTATTATGGTTCAGAAAAATACCCTTTTCTCACTTTATCCCTAAAAATTTAACCGTGGTCGTTTTTTCCCATCATCAAAATGAATACAGATATCCATGACTAACTTTTATTCTCCAAACCACCGTCATTTCAACTTTCAAGCATAGTATATTCCTATCTACACGTTTAAATGTTGAGAAAAGAGTAAACCATAACGTCGAGGTTTCACCTGTGCTCGTGTTCATGGAGATTGCAGATGTTTCACTCTCTTTGTGGTTGGCTAGCCATCAACGCTTCTCAGGCGGGCAATTAAGTCATCCTGCACCAGGTTGGTTGGTTGGTCAAAGAATTCTCAAACACACCATGATCAATAAAGCTTGGAACTTGGAACATGTTCCGAGTAATTTTGCAAAATATCACTCCAAACCAATTTTGATGATATGAAAATTGCATTTAAAAGTATAAAATTAAAACAATAACTCGATTTGAAAGGGAGTGATCTTAAACAACGTTTTAACTATTTCAAACTTACTTATTAACTAGATTAATTACAATATAATATATACTTGCCTTCCTTCCTTTCAGCGAAAGGCCTTTGGCCTTGAGAAGGGCACGCAGCCTCTCTACGGTCAAACTCTGTAGATTCTTACTCGGTGTTGCACTGTTTGATGCTCCTGGATGCATCATAGCCACTATAATCATCACATTTGGAACACAATTCTAATGAAACTATAAGCTGATATGTTTTTTTAAAAAAAAAAAAAATAGTTGAAAGATATCATCCCTTGAATGGTTTTTTTGTTAGGAATCATGGATCTCCACAATAGTATGATATTGTCCACTTATTTTGGCTTCCTCCAAAAGGCATCATACCAATAGAGATATATTTCTTATTTATAAACACATGATCGTTCCCTAAATTAGCCAATGTGAGACTCCCTCCCAACAATCCTCCCCTAGAACAAAGTACACCATAGAGTCTCCCCTGAGATCTATGTAGCCCTCGAATATTTTTCAGATATATCATAATACTTATTAAACTGTTGGACATATTTCTAGACGTTAATCACCAGAGGTATGATATGCTGGGATCTTGGGGTGGGACCTTTTCTCTTTAATATGTAGAACAACCATTATCTATAATACGGGAAAAGTATCACTACCTATATATTATAGGTACAGAACTTTTTACATATGGTGGATAATGGTTCTACATGTTGAAGAGAACAAGTCCCCACCCCGCTAGGGGAAATTTCTCTTGTTTTTTCACTCAGGAGGAGTCGGCACATAGGTATCACCTTTTTTCTCTATACACACAATTAATTTAGGAGTCCAGGAAAGCACCTGATCTATATAATGCTTAATAAATAAAAAATGTTGGGATGTTGAGATAATTCGGGAGGTGGGTTTAAGAGTTGGTGAGGTTTAATACTTTTGTTTGGGCATTGGTCACTAGACTGTTTCGTAATTATGACATTGGTCTTGTTCTTTTATATAGGAGTCCTTTTTGTAGCTAGCGTCCGACCCCTTTTTTTCTTTGGACTTGTTTTTGTGTACGCCACATTTTTTCAATAAAAGTTCGGTTTCTTACCAAATATATATAACTCCTATAAAAAATATTAGGAATTCATAAGAAAATAATTTTAGATAAATAAAAAAGACACAAAAGCAGGATTTAGCTAACTCTCGTGAAGAACATCTGCAAAGAGTAATGAGTCAGTCAACCGGTCGCTACTTACTAGTACATGATCGACCATAACATACCTTTGGTTGAACGTACTTGTACAGCCCTCTTTGCTCTGCTATCTGAAATTTTTTCACCAGCCCTGGAAATATCAGGGTAGCATAACTAAGACTCAATACTAGGTAGATACCAAAACCAAATTATGTATTAAGCACATGTGAAGAAACGCCAATCCATTGTTTGTTTCCAATACCACATAAGAAAATGCAACAAATCCAACAGTTTCAACTAAAAATGACCAACTAGCAACCTAAAAAGATCATCCTTTTATTTTCAAAGAAGGGTGGCGGTACCTCTTTCGAGAAGACTCGGCTGCAGCTACTCCCTTTCCATCCTTTGAACTGGAATTTTTAAGCATTAAAGATCTAATAAGTATATTCTGCTGGTTTGTCTTTATTTCTTGATCCTCTGGATGCAAAATGGGTGTAAAGATTTACCACGTTTGGCTGTGTTCATAATAGGTAACTTGGCAAAATAAATATAGCTCTCGCAAAAAGGAATATAGCTGCATCAGTGTACGTTCATAAAATCTATAAATTAACAAATCAGCAACCATAACTACAAGAAACAAATTTCCAGTTCCAAAGTTCGTAGAGCTCTGCACAAGCACTATGATTATCCTTGTTATTTTCTTCCTCAATTCTTGTGTACATCAAATATCTGATGAATAATGGTTCATTCTTAAATACTTGTGTTGCATCATGGTATGCCTACAGTCTTATGTACTTAAATTGTTACATTATGTTTCGTAAAACGAATATTTAGAGAAATAAAAGTTAACCTGGGGGTGAGGTATCATGAAGGCAGATATAGACTCGCATACTTCCCTGCACGAACATATTGAAAAACATATTGTTTCAATATAGATACTAACCACGATAAATACACACAAATGACTAGAAAGTACCAAAGGGAAAAAGAACAAGGAAAAGAAAGAAAATACATTGATTTATAGGCGATGATTACACAAAAAATACCATCATACCATAATGTGGTTATAAATCTTCCAACATAATGGCACGCATACATCCTACAGTTGAGACTAGATCGAAAACGAACTCAAGAACTCAAACACTCTAATCACCAAAATGCATTTTAACAAAACCTAGCCATGGATAGATTCAAAACTTATTAAGTTCTTATACCTGTAAACAACTGGTCCTTGATCACTAACATTATGGAAGCCTAAAAATGGCATTAGGCAACCTAACAGCATCCCTTAAAAGCACGAGAGAAGCTTAAAGCAATCTTTTATAATTTAAAACGTAGATAAATTCACTCACTCCTGAATGTGCGAACAGACTCAAATGCAACACAAAATTGTATAACATCCGTGGCTTCAGGTCAAAATGATCGATTAAACTATACATAATTGTTCACTAACTAAAATTTTCCTAATGTAAACGTACCAAATATGAGAAGAGGATACACAAATTTGGAACAGAACAGAACAGAAAACAAAAGAGCAAGGTTTCAAAAGAGAAAAAAGTGCAAGAAACATTACCGGATTGGAGGAAGGAACGGTGGAGGAGAAGTAGCCATGGGAAGGAAGGTCGCCGAGGAACTTGGAGGCTCCGGGAGCGGAAGAAGAAGCGGAAGACGCCATGGCGAGAAACCCTTGGACAGTAGAATCTAGAAAGAAAGAAAGATGATCAGTCAAATCTGTGTTGAGAACTTTGCGGCCTGCTCGCTCTTCTTTATATCAAATCATTACATTTATTACATTATTATTTGGGATAATACAATATTTTTAGCACAAAAAAATAAAATCAATTGATAATTGATATAATAATAAATATGAATTGCAAATATTGTGGAATTTAGTATCGTATAAGAATATCAAACCCGACGAACGAAAAGGCACGGGTGGTCGTAAATCACAAGCTAACTGATTAATGAAGAATTGGGTCAGTCGAGCTGCTTTGAAGAACTCGGGTTTTAAAATTAGCTGGAAACTGACTATGAAGTTAGGTTGATAAACGAATTGGGTCGTGGGTGTACTAAACATAACTGAAGGGTTGGGTCTTTAAAGCTAGTTGGAGACGAGTTGTTGGGTTAGGTTGATGGACGAATTGGGTTGTGGATGTACTAAACATAACTGAAGGGTCGGGTTGTTGTTGGAGTTGACTAGGTTGTGAATTGAGCAGCTCGATTGTTGGATCTACTAGACGAGGCTGATCTTTACTCGTAGGTTGTTGGGTTGACCTAATCTAGTAGATCCTTTCATCTTTGCTCGACCGCTCAGGTCTATCTTCAAACGTTCCTTTGATGATACTTCAACGAATTTCTTTCTTACAGTGTTTCTCATTAGTGTATCACCACATTTGTGACAGAGAGAGTGAAGCATTGAAATCGACTTTGATTTTATTTAGAATTAAATAATTCTAAACATTAAGCAAACTTATACCGAAAAAAAATATGGAGAAGTTCTTGCTCTAGCTCCTTTAACAAACTCTCTCTACCGCTCTCCTCATCTAGTCTCACGTTTGCCGTTAAAAGTCAACCGGTCTTCTTCCTACACAGGTAACAACCTACTTATATTACCCTGGTCTTCCGAGTAGGATATGTAATACGTCCGACTTTCACTTCTCCAGCTCTAGGGGCACCTTCTCACCCCTGATTCACCTCTTCAACATCTATAAAAAAAAGTCCATAACTCATGCCCTTTTTTATCTGATTCGATAGGGCTCTTCTAGAGTCAGAGCCCCCTAACTTAAAAGCTTAAAAGGGCAGTTGCCCTAATTGATCCACCATCCCCGCGGATGCTATGTTATCCGAACTCCCAACATCAATGATCATCTTTGCACTGGCCAATTTCGACATAGATTCAGAATACTGCCTTCCGTCTCCTCCTCCTTTCTGCTAACGTTGACTCACGTTCTTGAAAATTTCGTTTCAATAGGCTCCACATGTCTTGACCTTGTGTCTGAGTTATAACAAGGGAAACTTTATAGAGAAAATAAATAATTTAATCATTAGAGAAGCTAAAGCAAGAAGATTAAAGAGCTGACAAATCTTTCTTCCGATAAGTTTGTTTAATCTTTAGTTTTGTTTAATTATAAATAAAACTCGAATCATTCCCAACAATATATTTCATATAGTGGAGACATTCATAAGAAATAATAACGTTATCGGTAATTAGTCTATCAATAATATTAGCACTTTGGTTGACAAATATGACTTGATCAAGAACGTCATATATCCTAATTAGTAAGTCTCACCTCGTCCATTTTTCCTTTATATATGTTGTTCGGTTGGATCTTTTGGACATGTTCTTAGAGCTGTTTTTTGTTATCGGAGGCAATCGAGATGAGTACAACTACTATTTCATCAATTTAAAGTGTGATGTCACAAGTTGGTTGGGGAGGAGAAGAAAACACCCGGGTGTGGAAACCTTAACCTAGCATACGCATTTTAAAGCCCAAAGAGGACAATATCTGATAGTGGTAGATCTGAGCCATTACATAAAGTGTTTTAAACTAAATTAGAGGATTATTCCAGACCATTCGGCAAATTAAGCCCTCTAACATGTTCTTTCTCGATGTCGTGGACCCATCTAAGTTGACTCAAATCACAAAAGATAGATCTAGACCAACACAATAATAATTTTACGACCCTAACTTAAGTCAACCAACTAAGTGGCTTTACTATTGTCTTGGTTGGATGAATTGAATGAAGTATGAACAACATGTATAAACAACATGTGCTCTAATGTTCTAATGGTCTGTGTTATGCTGACTTGTGTTATGTTGATTTATATTATGACCTATGTTATGATATGTTATATTGTAAGTTAGGTTATGAGATGTTTATGTCGTGGATTTTGGTATGACTTCCATATCATATGATGCATAATACCTCTATATGATATCTCATGCACACTACGTTAGCACGTTAAACTTCAGGATTACGAAATAATGTTATGCAATGCATGTATTTCATGAAAGTATTGTTTATGAAAGAACGAATGTACAATGAGCATCATACATTTATGTCATGATTTAAAGTTACGAGGACCTTGTGTATTTTTGTATGTCACGTGCATTAGGATGTTTATCCGTTATGATGAGTACGAACGCATACATTACGATATCTATCAACGTCATGATATTATGTGGGCTCATTTCTCTTGTGGGTTCGACAACATGAGTGTGCACTAGCTGAAGGACAAACCGACCGGGTACGTATGCATCTGCCTTGGGTGCAGAAACATGAGTGTGTGTGTCGAAAAGTACTATACATCCAATTTTTGCCCGATTGAAAAGCAGTATTCAAGGGCATTAAATTTTTTTATGAAATAATAGATCTACCATGATTGATTGTGTATGCATTTCCTGACCCAATAATGATGTTTCTTGCTAAGCATTCCTTGAATAGTAAGACACCTGTGGATAAATGACGACTTCACGGTGACGACCAAGGGACTGAAGTTAGGATAGATGCATTCATATTGTTTTTCTTTCGTAGCTCTTAAGTTAGATTAGGGCAAAAAAATTCAAAAATACCCTTAACCATTAGGTTTAAAAAATATCCATGAAATTTTAAAAATACCAATAATACCCTTTTACTTTAATAGGAAAAAAAAGTTAAAAAATAAAAAACATTTATTAACATCTCATAAATGGTCTTCCAACATTTTAAATTTAAAATTATTTTTATAGTTTTTAAAAAGTTTTTAATGAGATAAATTAAACTAGTTTTATTTATTTAGCAAAAAAAAAAAAAAAAAAAAAAAAAAAAAAAAAAAAAAAAAAAAAAAAAAAAAAAAAAAAAAAAAAAAAAAAAAAAA